ATCGGGGAGGGATTCAAAGGCTGCCTGCATTGGAAATTCCTCAAATGCCAAAGGGAAAACAGCATCCTAAGGAGTCAGATACACTGCAGTATAATATGGGTGCCAAACGTCAACAAAAATTGATTTCTATTTTTACGACACTGTCAGCAAAGTGATTTCTATTTCATAAACAAAAATTGTAAGGCCCTACTTCAACTATTGCCAAGTTCCTCCATCTAGCATTATTTGAATCCATTACATCCTTACTCTCAACTCTAACACTCACACAACCTTGTCACCCTTCAGCTAATGAAAGTGAAAACTTTCAAGTTTCAACATAAATGAATTTCCAACTACCAATTCCCAGCTGAAAAAGCCTTGAACCATCCATAAAATGATAAAAAGAAATGAAAATGCTACTGCCCATTGATCTCTCTCTCTCAATAATTTATAATCAAGTTGGGTGTGTGTGTGTGTTGGGGGAATGGGGTTAAGGATGGTGCCTACCTTAAACTGTCAACGCCTAGATTTATTCTTGCAGCAGCGGAACTTAGCTAAGAGAGCTATGTGATCTGAGGACCATTCAGGTGAAGGAAGTGCAGTGTCCTTCCTCAAACTCTCCTCATCCAGTAACTCCAATAATGACTCCACAACCAATGTATCCGCTGAAACCACAAGCCATATCACGTCATCAAAATGTGACTAAGATATAGGTATTAATTTATCACAATGACATGAAACCATGCTCACCTGTGTAAAATATGTAATCTAGAGTGCCAATAAAATCTCTAGTGACATTTGTGAATAAAGGCTCATTTGATCCACCATCCAGTCTCCTTTTATGCTGCTCATATCCAAGGCCAACTGTTCTTGCAAAAGATGAGTACGCACTGACCTAAATTTGAAGTTACAAACAACCAATAACATTAAATCAGGTGAAAATTAGATAAAAATAAATACAGAAGTAAAATTGAACTTAATGGTGTAAAGTTCAATTAATACTACCAGTGGTAACTGATGAACCAACTTGCTGCGAGGACGTAAAATGTTAAGCGGGTCAACTGCTAAATCAGGATGTGAAGGATCTACCTTTCCCATTGCAAGAAGTGAATGAGGTGCACTGCAATGATGTTCAGAATAACCTTTACACACTCTTCCAAAAACAAAAACATTGATTGTTTCCATAAAGAAAAAGAAGTCATCAAACCTTCCTGGAACTGAATTAAAATCTCCACAAACCAACATCGGAATGTCGGCACTTGCAGCTATTTTCTCCAACCCTTTTAAGAGAGTATGCACCTAAAATAGGAGAAAATTAGAAACTGTAATATTCAAAACAAATTGATCAATGTGAACAAACTAAAGAAAATAATTTACCTGCCAGAGTTTCACATCCTTTAAATCTTGGGAAACATTTACATGTGTATTTGCCTGAAAAGTCCACAAGAATGAGTTAAAAGTAGATCTTATAAAAACAGGACTGGTACTATACGCTGTAAAGAGATTTTATATCAGATCAACAACCATCAGATAAATAAACAGCTACAATAGTCAACAGATAAAAAAATTCTCGAATGCAACAACAATCATGGAACTGGGGAACAATAAACAAATGGAATAGACAATAAAAGAAAATGCTAAACAAAAAATGCACATGAAAGAGCTTACCACACAAAGAAGCTGTCTCTTCCCAGCATTATTATCAAATGGCTGATTGTTAACTTTTGCTTCTAGAACCACTATTAGTGCAACATTATCCTAATACAAAGAAAACTTGGTAAGTAACAGTTCCAAGAGACAATAATTTTTTTTTCTCTGAAAATCAAAATTGAAATGTAATCTTAAGAAAAATAAGCCACCTTAACCAGCCGATTCAAGGCAGTTTTCTTCTGAGTGGTTGGAATTGTAGCCTCTGTCAAAGACTGTGCAGCCTTGTTAAATTCAACCTGCATGCAAGCACACACTGTTCTAGTTTGTGTACAAACATAATTGAACAACCAAACACAATCAATTCCCAAGTCCCAACCTCATATTTCTTCACATGTGCAAATCTGTCTCTACGGAAAAATGTCGCACAGCCATCAATTGTATTTGTATTGCCACTGTACACCTGTAAACCCACAGTAAACAGGTAAACATTTAATTTTTTTTTAAAATTGGTGATCACAAAGACCAGTATATTGCAACAACCTCGTTAGTTTTTCTCTTGTAAAGACCATAATAGCCATGTTTGTCCAGTTCAGGGGAAAAAAACTCCTCGAAATGATCATTTTGAACCTGGAGGACAAAATATTGTCTGTTAGCTAATACTAAAAGCAAATGGAATATAGGGTGACATCATAAATTTCTATGGGTTTGAGTTATGACCTTGTATAGATCAGAAGAGAATAATAGATAATAACAAATTTCCAGCATTACACAAATCATGGTTATAGACAACAAAAATGGACCTCTAAATTCTTTTAATGATTTTCTCCTACAGTTTATGCCTCTGCCTCAACCCTAAATCATTTAATTTAGTCTCCTTACAACTACAAGTCTTCTACTATATTAAGGCTGCATCAACTTTCTATAATAAGTGCTACTCCAACTTCCTCTCTAGTTAATTTAACACCATTTTCCTTAAAAAAGTTAAACAGCCAAGTAATTAAATTAAGTTTTTCAACCAAAATCAGAAGAAAGAACATGTTCATGTACCTCCTGAAGACAAATAATGTCTGGAGAGTAACCAACAATTTCTCGTAACAAATTTTGTCTGCGATATGGCCAAGAAAGTGCCCATGAAGGGCAGTAATTGTATAGATCATTTGAGGCATATGCTTCAGACAATATATTGTATGACAGAACAGTAAAAGTTCCTGAAGATGTCATTCGCCCATCCACATCTAAATGCCCCATCCCATCAACAGGTATCAGTTGGCGTGGAATAGGCGAGGGAGCAGGAATGACACGTGAAGTTAGTATGGTGTTAACATGCCCCACAGTAAGTTTTGTCTCTGCATCAACTACAACACACTCAAACTTGAGAACATGGCCAACATCATCAGCAGTAGGGGTGTAAGTCTTGGATCGTCCAACTTCAAACCAAGTTTCGCCACCTCTTTGTGTGATAGCTGCTGGATACAAAGGTGTTGCAGCCCCATTTGTAAAGCTAGCACTTGATGCAGAGGAAGATAAGCTGGAATTAATTGCCCCAGACCCAGTACTATTAAAGCGCCCAAATACCTCCTCCTCCTCATTTCCATTTTCATTGAGAGCACTTGCAGCACGATCATGCAACACACGATGATGCTGCCATGCATCTGAAAAACATTTTGTTGTGCAATGGTAACTCTTGGAAAGAGGTATTTTGGCTTTAACACAACCTAGGCATTGTAGTGTGGCTTGCTCTGATGGATGTATGCTACATACAGCAACTTTTTTATCACTCTGTACACGGTACCTGCCAAAATGAAGAGCAAAAGAATATAGGGTCAAACAACATATTTGGGATCATATTTATATTCCATCTAGTCTATAACCATGAGGTAACAAATATGTGCATGGTTTATGAGTGACAATAAAAATCCAGAACAAACCAGCTAACCCAAAACATGAAAGAAAAAAAAAGATGGGGTGTTAAAATATAGAATTTGAAACTTGACCATTTGAATGATCATGACAGTTTCAAGTTACAAATAAAGCAATTGGCACTCATACCTGAAGTATATCTTTCTCCACATGATCATTTGAATGCATACAAATTAACCATGAGGAAACATTAAATACGAAAACTATCTACATAACACACTTATACAAATTGAGCAGCCTTTAATTATTCAGTTTTTTGCACCAAAAACCATAACCTAGCAATCAAAAGAATTTCAAAAACTATTGGATATTGTCCGCCTTGCGTTCCCGTTTAATCTAGTACTGGATGTGCTTACTAAAAACACAAGATTATCCCAACAAACATGCTTTGTCAATTATGATATAGTTTTGATTAAGGAATCATGGGAAAACCTTAAATTGAAACTTGTGCTTTGGATATGAACATCGGAATCCAAGGGGTTTAACTAAGAGTAATATAGATTATACATTGCAATTTTAGCAAGTTTTGAAAAAAGAGAATGACTTTTATTCTCACTAATTCTAAGGCCCTTTGGTCAAGATATTTTTCAGTTGTTTAGTTGGTACAAATTATTCCCTCCTCCAGTTTTCTTCTGTGATGTGTCTATCAATTTCAACATGTTTCATTCAGTCATCTTGAACACGGTTGTAAGCAATGCTAATGGCTGGCTTGTTATCACAATACAACTTCATGGGAAAATCCATTGTCCTCTTCAATTCTTCTAAAACTCTTTTGAGCCACAGAACATTGCAAATTCCTTGAGCCATTGAATCATTGATATAAATTCAGCCTCAGCACTACTTCTAGCAGTAGAACTCTACTTCTTGCTCCTCCTCAGACCAAATTACCCCATAGAAATCTGCAGTACCCGGATGTAGGCCTCCTATCTATAAATGATCCTGCCCAATCAACACTGATATACACCTTGACTCCTCTCTTCTCATTTTTTTGAAGAGCCCTTTTACTGGTTTTCCTTCTAGATAGCGAAGAATCCGATACACAACTAGCAGTCAAAGAAGTTTTATTGCACAGTGCTGTATGACTAGCTATACTCAATGGCAGCGAATGTTGGACTTTAAAGGCACAAAACAAGAGAAAAATAGCATAAATGAGTATGTTATGATTAGTGTGTGACTATACAAGAAAGAAAAAAATACAGAATGATTATATACAAGAAAATATTAATGTGGCACCTATTGAGGAAAAAGTGATAGAAAATCAGTTAAGATGATTTAGACACGTGAAAAAAGTCCATTGGAAGAAATTATTAAAGGGATCTCCTTGTCATTAATATTCCTAAAAATGTTATTTTTTAACCTAACATAATGACATCTTGTAATGGATGTAGCTGACGTCACCTAGTGGGATACGATTCTTTTTGTCCTTATTGTACTGTTACCTCAGAAAATGACTAAACAAGCAGGCCACAAATCACTGCTTAATCAATGCTATCCAGTATCCAGTATTAGTTACGTACCTGATCTCACCTAAGGCCTGTTTAGATAAACTTCTCTAGAAGCACTTATAGGAGAGAAAAATATGAAGAGAAGTTGAAATAAACTTTTTTATAAGCTAAAATTAGCTTATGCATGAGTTAAAAGTAAGATTTTAGTGAAGCTAATAAGAGAAAGCTTCTTCAAATAAGTTTATACATAGCTAATTTTAACTAATGAAAAAACTCATTTTATTTTTTCGTTTTACCTTCCTATTTTTCTCTCCTAAAAGTGTTTCCAGAGAGGTTTACTAAACAGACCCTTAGTGAGATAAGATTCATTTTGTCGTTATTGTAATTGTAATGTTAAGGTTAAGTTGTTAACACAGATAATGACTAAACAAGCAGACCACAAATCACCACTTAATTAATGCAATTCAGTATTAGTTACATACTGCCATGACAACATTTGGAATATCAATCATGAAATTTCAAAATATTTTACAAATGAAATCAACAAAACTGAAACGGAAGGAAACAATCATATAATGCGCAACAGTCTAAGTCCACATTGTATTCCGAAAATGCAACCAACACAGGACAACCCTAGCACCAACTACATCATTCAATTAATTCACATCACCACCAGCTTTCATCCTATCCTCAATGCATTTCATACCTATTGTAGCTTACAAGCTACAAGAATTCAACATAATTTTTTTTTTTAACCTAACACAAGACATACTTAAAAAAAATAAAAAATTCAATCATTACAACAAAAATAAATAAATAACAAATTTTAACTCATACACTTCTTTTCAACTAAAAAAAAAACACGGTTCACTCGTGAAAAAAGCCCTAGCACTAGCACGCAAACCACGTGAAGAACAAAAGCCGATACTGATACTGATCCAATTTCTCTTTGACCGAAAGTCAAACACCGTTAATTTGAAAACAAAAAAAAAAAAAGGAACGAACCACTTGTAACGCAGGAAATGGCCATCTAAGGGGGCGGTTTCAGGCACATCGTCGGTGGAAACGGTTTTGTCGGGGCGGCGAAGGAGAACGTAGGGTGTGAGTTCGCAGCCAACAATGGGAATTTCAGAAGGAAGGTGCACGCGCACCACGCTCAGCATGCTTCACTCTTCTTCTTCTTCCTTCTCTCGACAACAACAACAACAATAACAATAACAATCGTCACGGCTCAATAACCCTATCGACAATCGAACGCGGCGGCGGATACCTGGCGGATCCGCCATTACTTCACCCGATTACCCGCCAGCCTTGCAAACGACGACGGATCGATGATTGATGGCGGGGCTGGATTAGGGTTTTACTGCAGCGGAAGTGCGAGTAATCGTGTTTTCGGTTTTTTTTTTTGTGTTTTTTTTTTCTTCGGTTTCTTTGTATTCGAGAGAGAGGGTGGTGATGAGATATTTTTTTTTATTGTTATTTATGGAGAAATTATTGGATTTCTTTTTTTCTCGTGGCTCTTGGGTACGCTGGGGTGGAGTGTGGACTATTACAAAATGACTAAAATTACATGAATGATAAGTTTTGTTGCTGTATAAATAAAATTTGGCTTTCATATTGTTTAGTTCGCGTAAAATAAAGAGTTTATTGTTTTTAACTTTGTTTCTAAAACAAATGATTTTTTTTAGAGTAGGACAAAATTTAGTTATAACTTTTTGAAATACGATTGCTAATTAATTAGAGTTAAACTTTTACTTTGTCAATAAATATATATATGTATATTAATAAAATCTACATTAAATTAAATATATAATATCAAGATAAAATTTTAATTTTAATTAAAAAATAACATAACTGTATCTAAGTTTTGTTTTTTAAATAATATTTAGCTAAAAAATAATCATAATTTCTGAGTATAACTTAGTCCTTGATTATGAGTTTTAGATCATGTTCATGTAAAATAAATGACTCTTATTCTGACTAATAGAAAAAATATCTTGGAAATAATTTTTTTTAATTAATTGATGAATAGTTTTCTTTATGGTATATAATTATTTTTATGGTAATTAATCAATTTTTATATATTAAATACAAATATTTATCTTGCACGAAAATATTTTTAGAGTTTTTTTTATAATAGGATGTTTAGAGATTTATTTTAATTTAATTTTTATTTATCATAATTATTTATGAATTAAATTATAATATTTTAAAATAAATTATTAATAAATAAAAATAATATTCTGTTATAATATAAATTATTTATCATAAATCTAAAATATAATTTATGTGATTCAAATATCTATTTATACAAAATTTAAATATGATTTATATGCATATAAATAATATTTATTTATATATAATTTATTATAAATTTTTTTAAATATAATAAATACTTAATCTAAACATTGCATGTCCTAAAACACTAGTTAAAAGTAAAATTGAAAATAGATGGTTAACACAAAATAATTTTCTTTCATTATTAGTATAAAAAAAAATTATTTTATTTTGATCTAGTCTCTATCGTTAGATTGACCTGATCATCAAACGAAATAAATTAAAAACAAAAATAACCAAAACTTGTGGAAAACAAAACAAAAATAATTGATCTTAAAAAATTTAAATAAAGTATTAAACTAAAAAGATTAAAATAAAAACAACTTAAACATTTATGTAAACCAAGATTTGTAAAATTTAAACTTTTATATATAATAAATGCACTAATAGTCTAATATAGAATAAAAATCCTAATTTTTAGTGACTAATTAAATAAATTATAAAAAAAATTAAACTTCAAACATAAAAGTCTGAAATATAATAAACAAAGAGTAATAAAAATAAAATATAAATTAAGGCATAGATATTAAAATGAGTGACAATCAATAACTACCTATAATAAAGTAATCAATAACTTTTATGTCAAACAATTTATTTAAAATATTTGGGATTTAATATTTTTCACATTATATAGAATAAAATAAGGAGTGCATATTATTAATAATAAAGTCATCAATAAAATTCTTAATGATATTAATGAGTACAGTCATTGATAACATATATAGACCATTAACATTAGTCTAAAGATTATGGAAAAGGGGTTGAAATAGATGCATGAAGACTTAAGTTCAATCTTTATTATTATCTTTGTAACATTTTCTATGAATTTAAAAATTGATAGCATATTTTTGAAATTCATAAAAGTAGTTGTGAGTTACAAAGTTACAATTGTAGTTGTCTATAAGAGCAACTCCAATGGGAGTTGCTTGTCCCATGAAGCAACTCAAGTCCCGGTTTCTTACCATTGGAGGACTCTGACGTGGCAACATGAGTTGCTTGAAGAAGAGAGAGAGTTGCTTCCTCAAGCAACCGTTCCTTACCAAATTTCAAGCAAATCTTATTAAACATATTTGGGAACGTTTTGGAAATAATAATGATGAAAATTAATTTTGTATAATGTCTATGCATTTATTATTATTTTACTTTGTTTTTAATATCTACTTATTGTATATTTTTTCTCGTAATTTATTTTCTTTCATTGTAGTGAAATTACCCTTTTTAATAAAAATTTAAAATTGGTTCATAAATAATTAGAAAAAAAATTCTAAAAGTTAAATTTTTTAAAGTTTCTTACCATTGGAGTAAATTTGTGTTTGAGTTGCTTAATACTGACATGGCACACTTGGGACCACTTTTTTCATTTTTCAATGCATGAAGCAACTCAAATGAGTTGCTTCCATTGGAGATGCCCTAAGACTCTTTATTTACATTAGAGTTCACCCACAATTTAATCATTATCTATATCATCTATATATATTATAAGAGGAAACAAAATATGTAACCGTTTTTCCACAAAGACAAGATTTATAAAATTTAAACTTTTATATATGATAAATGCACTAATAGTCTAACATAGAAAAAAAATCCTAATTTTTATTGACTAATTAAATAAATTATAAAAAAAATAAGCTTCAAACATAAAAGTCATGTAAAAAAAAAAAAAGAAATATAATAAATAAAGAGTAATAAAAATAAAATATAAATTAAGACATAGATATTAAAATGAGTAACAATCAATAACTACCTATAATAAAATTATCAATAACTTTTATGACAAACAATGTATTTAAAATATTTAGGATTTAATATTTTTCACATTATATAAAGTAAAATAATGAGTGCATATTATTAATAATAAAGTCATCAATAAAATTCTTAATGATATTAATGAGTACAATCATATAGACCATTAACATTAGTCTAATGATTGTGGAAAAGAGGTTGAAATAGATGTGTGAAAACTTAAGTTCAATCTTTATTATAGTCTTTGTAATATTTTCTATGAATTTAAGAATTGAGAACATATTTTTGAAATTCATAAAAGTAGTTGTGAGTTACAAAGTTAAAATTGTAGGTGTCAATAATACTCTTTATTTACATTAGAGTTCACCCACAATTTAACTATTATCTACATGGTCTATACCTATTATAAGAGAAAACAAAATATGTAACCGTTTTTTTTCTTCTTCAATTTTTGAGTTGATTATTGTATTCCTTATATATTACGAAAGAAAAATATATAACTTCTTAAATTTTGCCTAAATAACTACTCACAAAAGTCTATCTCATTACCATATTTTATTTTATTTTTTAAAAATTAAGAGGCATAAAGTGTCTCTTTTCCTTGTTATAAAGAAAATACTCCTTTAAGGAATTGAATTTATCCCCATTTTTATATTAACTTGTTTACCTTTTTATTTTATTTAGAAATTTAAATTATTTTTTCTCTTCCAATATTATTTTTGTCTAAAAATTACTTATCTTTTGTAAGTAACTACCCACTTTATATATTTTTTTTTTTAAAAATAAAGAATCACAAAATATCATCATCATTGGGAACTAAATTGTTAATAATGATATGATAACACCATTAAATATTGAATGTTAATACCAACAATCAAGTTGTTAGTAACAACATGTTGACCATAAGATCAACGTATGATACATTTGGTGTAATTTATATCATTTTTTCTTTTACCTTTCTAGATTTCTCTCATATCTCAAATCTCACATGTTTTATCAATTCCTTAATCTTTGATCTATTATACAAATTTGTGGTTAGAAAATTTGAAGGTATATTTATCAAATTTGAAAAGTTTAAATTTTAATTGTATTGGGTATATTTGTTTAACTCTTGATATTCCATTTTATTTGTATTCTACTTTTGATAATTTTTATTTTTCATTTGCAACACTTGGTCATCAATATGAGTTGGATTTTATTTAGTAACACCTTTATTTCGATGATTACTTAGTTCTTTTTTTAATTATGAATTAAATTGTTGTTCAGAGTTCAAATATTGATATTGGGTATAAAATAAAATATGTTAGGAAAATAATATTTATTTTATATGCACTCTATGACACCCATTACTCTCAAGATAATATTAAAATATTTCAAATACAATAACCATAATAGTCTTCAAATTCAGTAATATGGAGAAAAGAGAGACACTAAAAGTGGTTGAATAATGTCAATAAAAAAAACTCACACTTTTCAAAAATAATGAAGTAGTAAATTTATCAAGAAGTGCAAACAAAGAGTTAAGAAATTGAACACAAAAGATTTTTATATTGGTTCGTCTCAACCATCGAGACTATATCTAGTTTTTGATTCAACTAGCTCAAGTTTCACTATCTTATACAAAGATACAAGTATTTTTTCTCCAAACCACTTCTGACTCAAATTTAAGTGTTCTTTGACTTACCTTTTCAATCAACCACTCAAGTATTTTTTTAACACAAACTCTAAAGACTATAACAACCAAGTATTCTTTTGATACAAAGTCTTTTTATGTAACATGCTATTTTTATATTAAAATTATATTTTGTTAATTATTAATTATTGTATTTTGTTATAAATATTGGGTTGGCTTGGATAATTGTTTTAATTATTTTTATATTTACATGGGTATATTATAAAATTTTATTATTAAATGATTTAATTATTTGTTATTATTTTGAGGGGAGAGTTTTATAACTAAATTTAATTATTTTAATTATTAGGTTAAGAGGGAGTTATTTTTTAAAAGGGGTTCTTTATTAGTTTTTCATTTTATGCTCTTTTACTCTTTTAATGTACACTTACTCTTTAAAGGCTTTAGAGAACCAAAACTAGTGGGAGATCACCCCGAAGAACCAGTTCCTTCTTCTAGTGCTCATCAAGGTAAAGGAGAGTGAGTAGTCTCGCTTTAGGCATGAAATGTATGTTGGGTAGTGAGATTGACCTCTAATCCCTTATCTGTTACTTGTATTTTATGAATGTAGTTTTTTCAATTAATTGTATTATGTGTTTTTGGTCTCCTTTACGATTCCTCATTATTCTATTTGGTGTTGTGTATTTTTTTTATGCTTCGAATTTCATGATTAAGCCAATATTTGTGTATTTTGGATTGCATGTGGGTTCCCGTAAGAACCCTAAGGGAATACGTTTAGG